AACATAGACGTTAAGTGGAATGCTCCCTTGTATTCGTCTATATTGATCTTGTAATGATATTGAAACTTTAGGGTCTACGCATATGCTTCTCCTACGAGTAACTTGATTACTCACCCCAGTGGTGTGGGTTATTTTTCATGTAAAGAGACTATGTTCATGAATGCTCATCATTCTTAGAAGCTTTTGAGCTTGTTGAAGCATTTTTGTATATTAACATGCAAGTCAAGTGTTTAGCATGCTTAACTTTTGAAGTTATAATTTTGTATACCATGTATGTGTGGTACTTTTGAAAATTATGTAACCTCTTTGGTGTGTAAAGATGCTTAATTAATCACTCTTGACATTAGAAGCATGTATGTAATGAGGCCAAGGGCCAAACATGTCTATTTTTGTACTTAGACACTTTTTGTATCAAAGTTTTGTTTTAAATGTCTTTTAATCAAAATTTGAGGTTTGAGAGGTCAAAATCTTGTAAATGATGTGTATGAGGCCATGGGCCATTATTTTGTACTCAAATATCTATAGCAAAGATGTTAGCATTTTCACATATCCTTTTTTCATTGAGCAATCAGTTTTGTGCATTCATTTTGAATTAAAACATCATGGGATTCAAGTTGAAGTGGAACTTTAGCACCTTCAGCAGATAGCAGGTTCAGCAGCAGGTTTTTGAAGTGTTTCGGTCGACCGAAACTCCATTTCGGTCGACCGATGGTTAATGGTTTTGTGTTTGCGCAGTAACATCACATTCTAGTAGCCAAAAACACTGTTCAAGGGTCATTTCGGTCGACCGAACCTTTATTTCGGTCGACCGAACCTTTATTTCGGTCTACCGAAGCAATTGGAACCTTTTCTTCATGATTTTATGTCTCAGCATCTTCATTTCGGTCATCCTAAACTTCATTTTGGTTGACTAAAATAGCTAGAACCCGAGCCTTGCTTCTGTTGAGTTTCAGCACTGATCATCCGACTTCAACGGGTCATAACTTCTTCGTTTCTAATCCAAACGGGGTGATTCTTGAGCCTAAACTCAATGATTTTGAGTCATATTTCCAATGGTGTCAATCCCATTCTAAAATTCCAAACACAGTGGGAGTTATGTCTATTTTAGTGAAGTAGTGTCAGTTTTCACTTCAACCGGGACGGGGCATTTTGTGGGATTTTTAGCCAATGTTCACAGAACCTCTTGGAATGTTTCAAAATGATTAGATTGGGTTGTATGAAACTTGTTTGACTTATTTAGAGTCAATTTTCTCCTTTTAATAGTGAATTGACCTTTTTGCCCCTTGGATAGCAAATTTTGTCTTTTTTGACCTTTGTTTTTGTTTTTGTCCTCTTTAAGTTCATGACCTCATGGAGGGTCACATTTGTGTCGTAGGTGTGACTTCTATCTCTAGAGACCTTGGTTTACCTTTAGCTTCCGCATTTTGGATCCGTTATCGGATCACTTTCGGTTCATCACTGACGCACCGGGTTGAAAAATTTGGGCCGTCACATCTAAATTTAACATTTTTAATTCTTTCATTTGCTATCCGTTAGTGTAAATTATGATATTTTTTTTTTACTTAAAATTGACATTGGTTAAGCATTCTAGTGTATTTGAAATTTTAGATAATTGTAGGGATTTTCTTCCATAATCTTCAATAACCATTATAGTGAATGTAAAATCTTCCATAATTGTTTTTTTTTAACTGAGTTGGCTTCATTAGGTACCAATGTGTTATCCAAATATTTGTCTTCTCATGTTTGCAGCAATTACACATTTCACAGGTTATTATGTGATATTTATGAGAAAAAAAACATTGTGAACTTTAATAAGTAGGGACACTAATTACCTTCACCATAAAATTAAGTTATTCACACAGTTCTGCAAAACTAATTTCACACCACTGAAAAACTAATTTCACACCTAAATTTAACATTTTTTAATTCTTCCGTTTGTCATTCGTTAGTGTAAATTATGATATTTTTTTAATTGAAATTGACACTGGTTAAGCATTCTAGTGTATTTGAAATCTTGGATAATTGTAGGATTTTCTTTTATAATCTTCAATAACCATTCTAGTGAATGTAAAATCTTCCATAATTGCTTTTTTTTTAACTAAATTGGCTTCATTAGGTACCAATGTATTATCATATTTTGTCTTCTCATGTATGCGGGAATTACACATTTCACTGGTCATTATGTGATATTTATGAGGAAAAAGACATTGTGAAGTTTAATAAGTAGGGACACTGATCACCTTCACCATCAAATTAAGTTATTCACGCAGTTCTGCAAAACTAATTTCACACCTCTGTAAAACTAATTTCACACCTAAAGTTAACATTTTTTAATTCTTTCATGTGTCATCAGTTAGTATAAATTATGATATTTTTTTTATTTGAAATTGACATTGGTTAAGCATTATAGTGTATATTTGGATAATTGTAGGATTTTCTTCCATAATCTTGAATAACCATTCTTGTGAATGTAAAATTTTCCATAATTGTTTTTTTTAACTGAGTTGGCTTCATTAGGTACCAATTTGTTATCCAAATATTTTGTCTTCTCATGTATGCGGCAATTACACATTTCACAGGTTATTATGTGATATTTATGAGAAATAAAATATTGCGAAGTCTAACAAGTAGGGACACTGATCACCTTCACCATCAAATTAAGTTATTCACACAGTTCTGCAAAACTAATTTCACACATTTGCAAAACTAATTTCACACCTAAATTTAACATTTTTTAATTCTTTCATTTGTCATCCGTTAGTGTAAATTATAATTCTTTTTACTTGAAATTGACAATGGTTAACCATTCTAGTGTATTTGAAATCTTGGATAATTGTAGGATTTTCTTCCATAATCTTCAATAACCATTCTAGTGAATATAAAATCTTCCATAATTGTTTTTTTTTACTGAGTTGGCTTCATTAGGTTCCAATGTGTTATCCAAATATTTTGTCTTCTCATGTATGCAGCAATTACACATTTCACAGGTTATTATGTGATATTTATGAGAAAAAAAACGTTGTGAAGTTTAATAAGTAGGGATACTGATCACCTTCACCATCAAATTAAGTTATTTACACAATTCTGCAAAACTAATTTCACACCTCGGAAAAACTAATTTCACACCTAAATTTGACATTTTTTAATTCTTTCATTTTTCATTTGTTAGTGTAAATTATGATATTTTTTGAATTGAAATTTACATTGGTTAAGTATTCTAGTGTATTTGAAATCTTGGATAATTGTAGGATTTTCTTCTATAATCTTCAATAACCATTCTAGTGAATGTAAAATCTTCCATAATTGTTTTTTTTTAACTGAGTTGGCTTCATTAGGTACCAATGTGTTATTCAAATATTTTGTCTTCTCATGTATGCGGCAATTACACATTTCACAAGTTATTATGTGATATTTATGAGAAAAAAAACATTGTGAAGTTTAATAAGTAGGGACACTGATCACCTTCACCATCAAATTAAGTTATTCACATAGTTCTGCAAACTAATTTCACACTTCTGCAAAACTAATTTCACACCTAAATTTAACATTTTTTAATTCTTTCATTTGTCATCCGTTAGTGTAAATTATGATATTTTTTTACTTGAAATTGATATTGGTTAAGCATTCTAATGTATTTGAAATCTTAGATAATTGTAGGATTTACTTTTATAATCTTCAATAACCATTCTAGTGAATGTAAAATCTTGCATAATTGTTTTTTTTTAACTGAGTTGGCTTCATTAGGTACCAATTTGTTATCCAAATATTTTATCTTCTCATGTATGCGGCAATTACACATTTTACAGGTTATTATGTGATATTTACGAGAAAAAAAACATTGTGAATTTTAATATGTAGGGACACTGATCACCTTCACCATCAAATTAAGTTATTCACACAGTTCTAAAAAAGTAATTTCACAACCTCTGCAAAACTAATTTCACACCTAAAGTTAGCATTTTCTAATTCTTTCATTTGTCATCAGTTAGTATAAATTATGATATTTTTTTACTTGAAATTGACATTGGTTAAGTATTATAGTGTATTTGAAATCTTGGATAATTGTAGGATTTTCTTTTATAATCTTCAATAGCCATTCTAGTGAATGTAAAATCTTCCATAATTATTTTTTTTAACTGAGTTGGATTCATTTGGTACCAATGCGTTATCCAAATATTTTGTCTTTTCATGTATGCGGCAATTACACATTTAAAAGGTTATTATGTGATATTTATTAGAAAAAAACATTGTGAAGTTTAATAAGTAGGGACACTAATTACCTTCACCATTAAATTAAGTTATTCACACAGTTCTGCAAAACTAATTTCATACCTCTGCAAAACTAATTTCACACCTAAATTTTACATTTGTCATCCGTTAGTGTAAATTATGATATTTTTTTTACTTGAAATTGACATTGGTTAAGCATTCTAGTGTATTTGAAATCTTGGATAAATGTAGGATTTTCTTTTATAATCTTCAATAACCATTCTACTGAATGTAAAATCTTCTATAATTATTTTTTTTAAACTGAGTTGGCTTCATTAGGTACCAATGTGTTATCCAAATATTTTGTCTTCTCATGTATGCGGTAATTACACATTTCACAGGTTATTATGTGATATTTATGAGGAAAAAAAATTGTGAAGTTTAATAAGTAGGGACACTGATCACCTTCACCATCAAAATAAGCTAGTCACACAGTTCTGCAAACTAATTTCACACCTCTGCAAAACTAATTTCACACCTAAATTTAACATTTTTTAATTCTTTCATTTGTCATCCGTTAGTGTAAATTATGATATTTTTTTTACTTGAAATTGACATTGGTTAAGCATTCTAGTGTATTTGAAATCTTAGATAATTGTACGATTTTTTGACCCTTTTCATTAGTTCAGTAAATATTTAGTATTTTTTTTTTTGTCACAAGTTATAAAAACTGACTTTAACGTTTTGATGGACCTTTTGCTTCTTGTAGCATTCATACTGAAGTTATCCCAATGGACGATGACTTGAGTACTAATGATGTGAGAATAAGCGTTCCAATCGTTGCTGAAATCAATATTTCTGAAAACTTAGTAGCAGAAGTTGTCAATCCCATTGACGTAGAATTCACACCAAAATTGAACGTGCAGTTTGACACTGAGGAGGAAGCATGTGACTTTTACAATGCTTATGGGGGTAAAGTTGGATTCAGTATTCGTAAGGATTATGCAAATAAAAGCCGTAAGACAGGTAATATTACAACAAGCAAGTTTGTGTGTTGCAAACAAGGTTTTAGGGTGAAGGACAAGATGGATATCCATACAAGAAAGCCCAGGGTTGAAACTCGAATCGGTTGTGGTGCACTGATGCAAATTAGATATGACCACAAGAAGGGAAAGTATGTTGTATATAATTTTGTCGAATCTCACAATCATCCTATGATAATTGAAGAATGCACACATATGATGCCATCACAACGAAGAATAAGTGTTGCCCAAGCAATTAATGTGGAATTGGTCTGCCAATTTAGAGTTCCACTCGGTGATGCATTTGAGTTAATGAGTAGGTAGGCTGGTGGGATGTAATCAATTGGCAACACCAAAGTTGATCAACAAAATTTTCTAAGGACAAGAAGACAGAGTGAGTTATAATACGGAGAGAAGACATGGCTGTTGAATTATTTCAAAATTCAATCTTGTGAAAATCCTACATTTTTCCACACCGTGCAGTTGGATAACGATGAAATGGTAACTAATATCTTCTGGGCAGATTTGAGAATGATAATTGACTATGGGCATTTTGGAGACGTCATCACATTCGACACGACATACAAGCTCGTCAAAAGCAATCGTCCTTTTGCGGCTTTTCTTGGTTTGAATCATCATCGAGAGACTGCTGTCTTTGGACTAGCATTGATGTATGACGAGACTGCCAATTCCTTTGCATGGCTGTTTGATTCATTCTTGAATGCAATGTCAGGTAAATACTATAAATGTAATTTTTTTTTCTTCTTGCAATTATTTTGGTCATCCTATATATATATATATATATATATATATATATATATATGTTTTAAGCCTTTAATAATTGAACATGGCCATTCTTTTTTACCTTTTTTTTTTATGTGAATTACTTTTTCAAATGAAGATATTTTATTAGGCATAATGTTCTTGCCTTTATATTTTCAATACTGTTAAAATTTTTAGTAATGATGTATGATAAGATTGCCTATTCATTTACATGCCTTTTTGATATATTCTTGAATGTGATGGTAGGTAAAGTACCACAAACGATTCTTACTGACCAAGATGGTGCAATGGTAAAGGCGTTGGCACAAGTTATGCCGAGGATAAGACATTTACTTTGCACGTGGCACATCATGGCAAATGCACAGAAGCATGTAGGCACCATTTTTAGGAATGATGGAGGGATTAAAAGTGTGCTGAGTCAATTCATGTATTGTTATGATGATGAGGATGATTTTTATATACAATGGGATGTAATGTTAAGGGAGTACAATGTTGTTGGTAACACATGGTTGAATAATTTGTTTGGTTTGAGAGAAAAATGGGGTTATCCATTTGTTAAACATTGGTTTACAGCTGGAATACGGACAACGCAGCTGAGTGAAGGTCTAAATAGCTGCTTGAAAGAGTACTTAACCAGGAAAATGAGTATTCCAGATTTCTTCATGCACCTTGACAGGCTATTGTCAGACAAACGGTACAAGGAATATCAAGCTGAGTATGGTTTACTCAGTAAGCTACCTAGACTTAAACAAAATTGTCCCATTCTAAAACAAGTGGGTAATATGTATATGTTGAAGATTTTTAAACTTTTCCAGGACCAATTCATAGAAGCTTGTGTGGTTGCTACCATGGAAGGAACAAGTTTAGATGAAAATGGATTACGTGTTTTTAGAGTATCTGTTCATGATGGTAGTATGGATCGGACTGTGACAAGGTGGGATGATGGCTTTCTAAGTTGTTCGTGCGGGAAATATGCAATGAAGGGTATTTTGTGCAGCCATGTACTTAAAGTACTGAAAGACGACACTCATTATTTCAAAGAATTACCTTATATGTATATACTAAAAAGGTGGACGAGAAAAGCTAAGGATAACAGAATACAAGACATCCGTGGATGTGAAGTTATTGCTGATCCTAAACTTGAAGTACGCAGAAGGTATAGGATGTTATGTTGTTTTTTTTTTTATTTACAGAAATCAGCTCATTTGCATCCGAGAAAGAAGAGGTATTCAATAATTTGATGCTAAAGGGGATGAAATGGAAAAGGAAACACATTAATGTTGAAAGGCAATGTTTCGATGTTGAACAAGAGGCAACCAATTCAGCTTTTTCAACTGAAAAAAGTAATAATCATGAACATAATGAAAGTATCATTGGGTAAGCCGTGACCGGAAGTAATGCCAAGGGTATAAAGAATAAAGAAACAGGTGGTAAGGGACCAAGGCGCAGGAAGAAGAATAAGTTTGAACAATACATGCAGAGAAAAAAAAACTATGCGAAACGAAAGGTTAATTTAATTTATTTTTTATTATTTGATAATTTAATTTTCCAGTATATGTCATTAACATTTTGATATTAGCAATGTTATAATTTTGTTTTTACAATGAATAAATCTATTGTTTTGTAGAAATCAAACGGCAACAACAGTGTTGGTGCAGGGGTAAGTGGCAGTGGTACCGTGCCACCTATTACATATGTACGTCTGAATGTGAGTTTTCTCCTTTTCTTAAATGAAAACATTGATTTTTTATTTATTTTTATATATTATTATAATTTTCAGTACGATAATGTCTTAATTAAGAATGTTTATATTGAAATAAGGGTTGTGACATTCCTAGCGACACCACTTGGATTTACAAAGATCATCACCCATGTGCGCGTTTACATTCAGAAACAAATATCGACCAAATGACATATTGTCCTACCACTAACTTCAATCATCCCATAACTCCACCAACTGAACAGGTATAAACAAACTTTTATTCTGAACTAGGTATATAAATTAATGAACATTATTTCATACTTTTGAAATCCATTAGTTAATGAACATTGAGAATATATTGGCAGGGGACTCCATTTGTTTCGTATCATGAATGCCGATTCTCAGATAATCTTGTAAGTTTATCTCTTATAAAATTTATGCTTCTGCAATATATTCTAAACATGTATGTTTTAACTTTGCATTAATTAACGTATGTACAAACATTGTTTTTGTATGATCCATTTTAAGGATGTTGATCACACCAGTGGTGACCGTAATTTGATGCCAATGTCGGAGGAGACAACATCCGAGATCAATCCTCCAGCTTGGCAAAAGTTGTTTTGAGTTAAGAAATTCTTGACAAATTGATGGTGTATAGGTATGCTATGGTTGATGGATGATAACAGAATATGGTGGTATAAAAAATATATCCCTTTTTGTGTAAAGATTTGTAAATGTATGGATAACTTGTTCACTTTTGTTTTTTGGGTTTTGTATATATAGAAAATGAAATGGATTTTTATTCAAGCCTATTTATGTCAATTGAAATATGTATGTGTACATATGTTGTTTGGTCCATTTTGTTTGTGATTTGGGACAGGATGAAACCATCAATTTCAAGGTGACATGGTTCCGTGAATGGCATCTGGCTATTTTCTCCAATGATGGCGATACTTAATTGCCTCTTGCATATGGCGATTTTATGTTAGACAGTGCTAATTAAATTGTCTATCCCAAAAGTTCCATTATGTTACTTCAAAAGTTAAATACAACATCACACTACATACATCACATTACATACATACACACATATCACATTACATACAGAAAACGACGTTAACGGTTATCATCAGTTGACTATGACTTTTTCTCCAATGATGCCAAACACCATCAATATGTGGAGATCGCAGTGGCAAAGATTACATTTTATTTTCTCCTTATTTATTCGCTCGACCATCCACCATTTGATGTGAACCATGTCACCTTCATAGTTCGGTGGTCCATAATCTTCCTCACAACAAGCAGGAATGTTATGAAATAACCTATTTGACCACCCTCTTTTCACTATTAAAATCATTTGTTCCCTCTGATGTTTTATGATCAGTTTATTTGTTATGTCTGTGTTCATGTTCGAAAGTTGTTGAATACCATTTACTTTATCAGCATTATTGCCATATATTAATGCAATGGCTAAAGCAAACTTACAACCAGTTGAAGATATACACCTTTGGTTAGAATACTTAGCCCATCTGCCCGATTTTGATGCAAGAAAAATAGCTCCTACATCCAACATCAAGTTATTAAAAATAAAACCCGATTAAATTACTTTCACAATTTAGTAAAGTGAGTGCAATCAACGTACCACTCCGAAGACAAACATAGCCTCCAAATTGCCATCATCAACACACTTTTGCATAAACATGCATTGCAAATAGTAAGTATCACTGGTACCCCCCGTTTGTATTTCGTACAAGGATTTAAAACCGAGATGTCGTAACATATGTGTCTCCAAACACACCATAGCTAGCTTATGAGAGCTGCACATATTTAAACACTTTTAACTTTTATTTCGTGAATAAAGAAAATATTATAAACAAAAAACAATAATGTACAATTAAATCCTTACCATTGTTGAAGTTGTAGTAGGTCTTGAAAATTATTTGCTGCCACTCTACTAACCACCTCACTGAGCAACGGTGGTGGGAGTTCTTCTATTTTCATTTTTAGACTACTTGTTTTGTGTATGCTAGTTACCTTTTGGGGGAAAGTTAACCATTGGTTTACCAGAAAGGGAAGAACTTATGTTGGATATATAGTCAATATGCACAGCCAATTAATGTGGTAGGTTAGGATTAGTTGAACACGAAATTATGTAATAAGTTACAGGTGTTGGTTGTAAATGTATAATTAAATGCACTGCTTGTTTGATATGACTAAGTTTATCTACAACTCCTTTATTTTATATAGATATTTGGTTGAACCGGCAAAACTCCTCTAAGTACATTCACCATCTCAACTAAGTATTCACATCCTGCTATTTAAGTAATAACACATATGAAATTATCTGAATTCACCATACTATTTTTCTGATTTGAAGTGAATATAGAGAAAATAATATGTGTGTGTGTGTGGGCGCATGTGTGTATATTAATAAGAAAGCATAATTTTTTTTTTAAAAAAAAAAAAAAATACAATCTTCACCTCATAATTAAGTATTCACACCCTGCTGTATAAGTAATATCACATACAAAACTATATGAATTAGCCAAACCACAATTTTTAGTATGTTAATTCAGACATTTATTATATTTTGTCTTCTCATGCATAAAGAGTATCTTATAATTTTTACTAAAATTAAAGAGTTATATAAGAAACACTTGTAAATATTCAGAACTGCCAGTCAAAATGCCACAAGATCCTAACTTTAAACAAGCTATAACAAATGGAGTTGCAAAATAATTTCAAACAAAAAAGATTAATTTCCTATGTCCTTGTATTCAATTACATCAAAGGATCACACAAGTCTCCAATGAAAGCTTTCAGTTCTGAAAATGGAGAAGAATTTAAGACAGCCTTAAGTGAAAGCTTTCAATTATGAAAATGGAGAACAATTTAAGACAGTAGAGACTTGCTAAATGATATATGTTAATGAGGTGAACATGTCCCATGGTGCGTAGAATCCAAATAAACAAACCTGATGCCTTAAAAGGCCCTCAAAACTATGCAGAGGATAGAGTGTGTTTCAGACCTCACTAGTAGGTATTTATTTATTTAATTTGATACGTCAATATTAACTGTGAACTACTCAAAAACACCATAGTGGGTGCAACCATTTACTTGCAAAGCATATAAAAGCAATAAAATATACGCTCTGATAAGCTTAGATTTCCTAAATGAATCAACCAAATAAACATGTTGAGATATGAAAAGTAGTTTAAAGATTGAGCAGATTTAGTATATGAATACAGAGCCCAAATTTTTACAAAACTAACCTGTACCCAAATTTATACAAAACTAACATGTACAAAACATTCACATAATAGCCCTATACAAGCCTGAATCGTTACAAGGTAGGACAAAAATAAAACGGAGTAACTTTCATAACAAAAGGCATTCCATTGACAAAAATTAAACCTTAACATAGCACCAGTTTCATCACCACCTAAAATTAAAGCTTGCAACCTGGTGCAAATTTAACTTTTCTCCCATGCTTGGCACTGTTGTTCAAAATCTCTTGCCTACATTCGTTCAAAGGATCGATCAAAAGTTGTAGTGCCATTTCTAAACGGATCACAGTAGAGTCCGTCTGTACCGTTACATTGAAGTAAAATACTGTTAGGAAAAAAATATATATTATGTTTAAACCACTGTAAAATAGAAAAATATTTCACAATGACATTATACTAACGTTGAAGTTTCCCAACAATCTTCTGCCATCCCATAACTCCATGAACCTCATAAGAAAAAGTCCACATGAATGTCTGAACAATAATTAAAAATTGTATAAGAGAGCTACTGAGGAAGTTCATGCCAAACATATAGGTAATAAGTTAAATAACAAAAAGATTTCAAAAGTATAAAGTCAAACATACGGGTCAGGCTGCACGGGTAAATCTTGATGCTTTATGATATCATAAAAATCCAATTTCTCTCCTAGTGCAATGTCAAGAAAATCTTTCTGCAATACGAAAACAAAATTACTAACAATATGATCATATCAAATTAAAAAATGAAATGAATTAGAATAAAAGAGTTGTATACCACCAATAAACCATAATTTGTGTGCCTAAAACCAACTCCGCTGCTACATATGTAATGAATAAGCTTATCCGGACGGTGAATGACAAACAAGAACCAATGATTACTGACGCATGCAGGGAAATAGATCTGTTAAACACACGACATATATTAGTAGTGGAATATTATCACAACCAGAAACTATAGGCAGAAGACATGGATTGTTAAAGAAAATAACATACCAACTCAGATTTATGAAAGTCGTTGGTCTTTGTTTTTAATTTTCTACAGTATTTGTCCCAAGCGCTCACCAAGCGTTTCCTGCGCTCCTCCTTATTACTTACAAACTCCACATTCTCATCCCTGATGCAACTTACTGTAAAGCTGGAAAAATAGTACTTCATTTTCTTCTCATCCTGTTTTTTGTTTAGAAGCATTGAATAACAATCAATTACTTATAAGAAAGGAAAATCATATATTAAGGACAAAAAAAAAAAAAAAAAAAACCGAATTTAACATGGACTAAAAATATGAATGGGGTTAATATTCATGTAATCCACTCACAACATTTGCCACCCACTCATCACCGAACATCGTAAGAATATCAGCCCGATTTAGTTGTGCAGTATCAATATTTACCAAGGTTTCACTAACATAACAGAATAAAGTAAGTATTTAAAAAACATTAAACATAAGATTAAGCATAAAAAAGGGCATGCCTAGAATCTGTCATAGGCCATTTTATCCATTACTTACGTTTTGTCACGGTCAGGGGCTCTGACATATTTCAACAACATTTTGTCATCAGTACTGAGTCTAATTTTTTTCTTAGACTCTGTTTGGTCCCAGGGAGAGCGTGCACATTGTGACCTACCTCGTCGACGACCACTAACAGTTTCTTTGGGGACATAATCATCAACTCCTGTCATATATAATCAATATCAATTACTAATTTAAGGTAATCATAATAGGATAAATGAAAAGATGGTTGGGCATTTAAAGAATTATACATATAGTGTTGTTTAAGAAATTGATATCCTTTTGTGCATCTTGCACAACATTTAAGCTATCTTCAACACCCTCCCCTGCAGCCTCCAGATTACCCGTCCCAGCATGAGCCATGGATTGGTCAGTATTTGAGATATTGGCTTCGACATTTGATTCTTCTACATGATTAAAGCACTTTTCAACTTGGTCAGAATTGTTATCAACTCCATATTCATCGTCAAATTCAACAATGTCATTTTCATCAATATTTACTCCTTCACTGCTTATTCCATGAACCACCGAATGGGGATAGGACGAGTTGCTTTGCGGATGCATATTCAAATGCTCACCACTTTCTTCTTCAATACTCGTGCGACCTGAACTGGTGTTAACCTCCACAGTACCTTTCTTTCGTTTGTCCCGTCGCCTTTCCCTAATGGATTGAAGTCTCCTGAAAATTTGGTTAGTATTTTGAAGTTGCATCTTCAATTCTTGAAAGCAGCGCTGCACACATCAGATAATAGGTTAAGAAGTTGCGATCTTATGACAATAAGAACAAATATACAAAAAAAACATAATGTAATGTAAACTTCATAAAAATATCCATTTATTAATGGAAT